GACCTCGAAAGATCCGACAGTTGCAGAAATGTGGATGTTGTCGATGGAGAACATTTTTCGGTTGATGAACTGCCCTGATGATCGGAAAGTGTTGTTTGCATCTTTCATGTTGCAGGGCGATGCAGAGTTATGGTGGGAATTCACTCGGAAGATCCTTAGCCCCAATGGAGGAGTGATCACATGGCTAGAATTTAGAGAAGCTTTCTGAGCAAAGTACAGCTCAGACGAGGCCCAACTCCGAAAACAACAGGAATTCACCCAGTTGACACAGAGTGGACGCGCCGTCACTACCTATGCAAGAGAGTTCATTAAATTGAAGCGCTTTGCTTTGGAGTTGGTTGATACATAACTAAAGTTGGCTCAGAGATTCATCCTAGGCTTAGACCAAAGTATCCGTGGCATGGTTAAGGCCATAAACCCTACCACATATGCTGCTGCTCTGAGGGCAGCTAAGGCTATGGATGGGAACAGAGGCGAAGAACTCCGAGAACCGCCAACACCGATAGCTGTAGGGGGACAAAAGCGACAATATAACTAGATCGACCCACATTGTCAGTTGCCAATGCACCCACAACAACAAACTGATGGATACCGCAGGGACCCAGGGCGTGGTCAACAGTTAGACCAATAGGGGGTCAGGGGAGACGAGAGGCCTACATGCGACGAGTGCGGCAAGAGGCACTGAGGATGGTGCCTGGCTCGGACTAGAGCATACTTTACGTGCGGCCAAGAGGGTCACATTGCCATGAATGGTCTAGAGAGACACATTGAGAATCCTTCTGACCAGCTAAGAGGTCCAGGCAATGCAAGGAGGACCGTGTAGACCAACTCCAAGCGAGAGCTTATGCTTCCACCATCAAGAAGGACACTAAAAACGCCGATTAGTGGTGTCAGGTACCCTATCCATTCTTGTGCACCTTACCTAACATTGTTTGATTTAAGATCTACTCATTCTTTCATATTTGTATCGCATGTATTATCTGTTCGAATTAAGTTAGTTTAGGTTCGAATTAGAACCATTATCGCATGTATTGTCTGTGAGTATCCCAGCAGGGTAAGTTTCATTGCTAAGGATAGAGTGAAGGGTAGGCAAGTGTGAATTGTAGACCTGAGTGATTTTGATGTAATATTCGGAATGATTTTGATGTAATATTCGGAATGATTTTGATGTAATACTTGGGATGGATTAAATCTTTTAACATATACTAACTCGATGTCGTGGAGCCAAATAGGTTGACTTGTGTTTCAAAGATAGATTCGAGCTAGTGTCAAGAATAAGATAGTAACTATGGTTTAGGTCAACCACGTAAATGACCCTGTTGGCTTGGTTAGTATGTCGTATGAATGATGACACGTGTCTCGTGACCCTTACACGTATCATAATTATGACTGTTATCTTATGACATGTTTATAAGCTAATGCTATAATGTAGAATCATGTTTATGATTTGATAATTTATGATGCATAAACTTCCACACCATGTCATGTAAATTATATAAAAAATTGCATATGCATATCCCATAGGCTCGTTGGATTATGTATGAGTGGATGTTTGACTAGATGCATACCTTACGATATTTATGTTTGTCATGATATCATGCGGGCACTTTCCCTCTATGGTGTCCGACGGTGTGAGCGTGTTAGCCCGACGAGCCAGGCCTAGGGGTATACGATCCTGCCTGATGGGCCCATGTGCAAGCGCATGGGCCGTGTGGGGAAGCACCACACATCCAACCTTGCTCGGGTTGGAAAGTGGAGCCTAAGGCCATTCTATGATGTTTTATAAAAGGATAGGTCCTACCATGTTTGTTTGTGTACGCATTTTTCGACCTGAACAGTGGGGTTTCGTATTGAGTATTTCTTAAAATACTCAACTCATGTAGTACTCTTATTCTTCAGGTAAAGACAAGACACATTAGCATGATGTCTGTTGCTGCAATGACACGTTGCTGCAATGACCATAGAAGTGAAGTTAGGAAAATAACATTCATTATTTTTCTTGAGTAGTATGTAGATAGTTCATGATGTCTGTTTGTTACATTAGAACGAGATTTTTTTTTGCAATTAAGTCCACAAGTTTCTCATGAGAATAGACAAGATGTACTCAAACAGAGGTTGTATGAGCACTCCCCAAAATCATATCTACACTTGTCAAATCTAAAATGCTTTATAATGTACTATATGAGATGTGACTAGTTGTTATACGCTATCAAAGCCATAGTGTGAGATCCCACATCGGTTGAATAGGGAATGAACTATTTCTTATAAAGGTGTAGAAATCTCTCCCTAAAAGACGTGTAATGTGGAAGCTCTAAAAGGAAAGCATAAAGAAAACATTATTTGGATGAGTACTGAGTTCTGCAGCATAACTCTAAAAGACACGGTTTAAAACTATGAGACTGATGATCAAACGTAACGGACCAAAATAGACAACAATATCAACTAACGATTGAATTGGACGTGATTGTTTATTTGTGTACTATTGTATAACATTGATTTCTTGAATCAATTTTCAAACATTTTCTATTTCTAAAACCTTTTCTCAAGAACGGATCAGAGGTTTGAGCACACATTACCCATGCCAACAACAACCCCAACAACAACCAAAGTTTCAATTAGCTCACTTGACTTACTCAAAAGTGAGAGTAAGTGCAACATGATCACATTGTGAGTCTCGATAGGGTGTGATTGTGACACTCATCTACCTCTCACCTCTAAAACAACCCACTTTCCATATCCATTACAACACTCAACACACCCTCCTCCCATGTTCTATAAAACAACCCACTTTCCATATCCATTACAACACTCAACACACCCTCCTCCCATGTTCTAAGAACAATTCCCATCTTTCCATGTTCTTCCACTTTCAAAAACAACCCAACAAAGAGCAACAAAATTTTCCATTGTTTACAAACTTTTTGAAGGTTGGTTTTGGAGAAGAAAGGGTTTTTGTTTAGAGTTTGGTGTGGAATCATAATAAAGTTTGTAAAAATGGTAACTTTTTCATTGATTGAGTTGTTAGTTTAGAGCATAAGAAAGGACACAAAAAGGACACACAATAGTGGGTTGGTGATATATTGTGACTCTTCCCTTTCTAGAAATTCAATCTTTTCTTATTTTCTTTATAAAGTTTTTTAAATCTATACGAACCCGTCGAATTCTTATTAGACAAATTCATGAATCTTATATTTTAATGACATATGCTCAAAATACGGATCAGGATTCAACACTTGATGGTCCCGACATTCCCACATATCAACACGAATTCTTTTACCTTCTATGAAAATTTTCAGGAGGGTCACCTAACTAAAATTGCTCCAAATAAAGCACGTTTAATCATAAAGTTCATATGATTGAGTCACCGAAAAAGATTAGTCATCTTATCCTCTTGATCGAATGTGGCCAACTCTTCTAGAAACCCTTTCTCTTTTTCAATCTTTTTGTTTCTCTGGGTTCGTATGATAGCATACCTAAAGAATAAAGAACTCAGATCTTCCTATGTTTTGCACAAAAGAAAAGAAATTAATAACAAATCTCCCTTTCCACACACCTTTTGGAAAAAAAATTCAAAATTTTACCATATGGGTTTTGAACTTTCAGCTTTGAACATTCAAGAAGAAAAAGATGGAAAACTTTGTGGTAATCTATGGTTGGTTCTCGACCATGATTTTCCTATTTGAACGTACAACTAACCTAAATTTTTAATGTTTTTTCGATCTCTTCGACTATTAGTTTAATCGTTGTATCTTTAAAACGTTTATTTTGATTCTCGTACTTTTAAAAACGGACCAATTTAGTCATGTTGGGAGAATTAGACAATGAAAACTTTTGAAAACAAAATCATAAAATTATAAGATTGAAATAAATGAGATGAAAATAAAAAAAGGAAGAGACCAACCTAATCTTTTCTTAAATGCACCATGACTCATGAATGTTTTGAAAAGTACTAGAACTAAAATGAACAAAAAGTGAAGGTATAGAAAGACCGAAATGAACCAAAGTCTTTTACATTTATTTATCATGTTCTTGTTTGTTTGTGCGAGAACCCACTTTGATTGGAGAGAAAAACAAAATATTCATTATAAGAGTGTAAAAATCTCTCCCGAGACGCGTAATCGTGAAGTTAATAGCGATATGTAGCGGGCAAAACAAACAACATCTACTAACGGTGGCATTGAGATGTTACAAATGGTATCAGAGTCATACACCGGGCAAAGTAGACAATATCTACTAGCGGTGGCATTGGGCTTTTACAAATGGTATCAGAGTTAGACACCGGGCAAGACGGACAATATCTACTAGCGGTGACATTGGGCTGTTACAAATGGTATCAGAGTCAGACACTGGGCAAGATGGACAATATCTACTAGCAGTGACATTGGGCTGTTACAAATGGTATCAGAGTCAGACACTGGGCAATGCGAACAATATCTACTAGCGGAGGCATTGGGCTGTTACAAATGGTATCAGAGTCAGACACGGGGCAATGCGAACAATATCTACTAGCGGAGGCATTGGGCTGTTACAAATGGTATCAGAGTCAGACATCAGGTAGTGTACCAGCAAGGACGTTGCCTCCCAAGGAGGGTGGATTGTGAGAACCCACATCGGTTGACAACTATACGTAACAGACCAAAATAAACAATATTTACTAACAGTATTCTCGAGCGGTTCATACAAATGTTGGTAGTTTCATAGAACAAAGAGAGGAGAGAGAACAAAAAAAGATGTACCTCTCTCTCCCACTTTATACCTACCTAAGTTTACCCATAATTTAATTAATCTAAGTCCATGATTAATGCTAATTTTGAATCAAAAAGCAAAATTAAAAGAAGGGTCCCACTACCCACTCCCCTCCATCTAACCTATCTTACCAACTCAACTCAACTCACCATCTCATCTAGAACCTCATATCTTCTCTCTCTCTCTCTCTAACCCTAAAATGAGTCAAAATCATATTAAAAGGCATCATACCCCATGTCCTCACAAGGCCCTCCATCTTAAAAATCAATCAACATTTCTAAACATTTTCATTTTACAACTTCCATGGGAAGGTCTCCTTGTTGTGAGAAGGCTCATACAAACAAAGGGGCTTGGACTAAGGAGGAAGACGACCGTCTTATTGCTTATATTAAAGCTCACGGCGAGGGTTGTTGGCGCTCCCTTCCTAGGGCCGCCGGCCTCCTCCGCTGTGGCAAGAGTTGTCGTCTCAGATGGATCAATTACCTTCGTCCAGATCTTAAACGGGGAAATTTCACTGAAGATGAAGATGAAGTCATCATCAAACTCCATAGTCTCCTCGGGAACAGGTAGGTTTCTGTTACATGTTACGTATTTCTATAATAGTATGATTGGGATCTAAACTTTGCACGAAGTTTAAAATTTGAACTTGACCCATCAATAATTATGACTCAAAGTTGTTAAAAATATGCAAAAGGAAGCATTTTGATTATTGATTAACGAGTACTTTTTTGTTTTTTCCCACTTAGATGGTCGTTGATAGCTGGAAGATTACCTGGAAGAACGGATAACGAGATCAAGAACTATTGGAACACTCACATAAAGCGAAAGCTCTTAAGTCAAGGAATTGACCCAACGACACATCGGGCAATCGTCGACCCATCATCTCCGGCAACCACCATATCCTTTGCTTCCAATTCCGCCGTGGAAGATCAGGAGGATAGAAAGAAACCAGTTATCAATTCTTCTCCGACAGAGAAACAACATCTTTTAGATTTGAACCTCGACCTCAAGATCAGCCCGCCGTACCCGGTGGCTGCCGGGGCGGCGATGAAGAATGAAGGGAGAAATAGTGTTTGCTTTTCTTGCAGTTTGGGGTTTGAGAACAGTAAAGATTGCAGGTGTGGAAATGGTAAAAATAATATTATTGCTTCAAGTGATAATAGTAAAGGGTTTGATTTTTTGGGATTGAAAAGCTGTGTATTGGATTGTAGAACTTTGGAGATTAAATGACCTTACAAATTGAAAACTGATATTTTTTCTAATTAAAATAATATTATATGTTAATTCTAATAATTTTATCATTCTAAGAAGGTCGGTCGAGAACCCTATTTGCACGTACGAATTTTTCACTGAGGATTCTCAACCTGATCCCGATAACAATAAATGAAAAGTTTTGAGACCGAAATGGAAATAGATGGGGTGGAAGCTTTTTCTGTTCACGTCCCACCCGTCCCACCCGTCCCACCGTCCTACCCTGTAGGCATCTCAAGGTGAAGTTAGCTCGAGAAAATAAACAAAATTAAAATGGAAGAACTAACAACTCTCCAATTTATTATATGTTTCAACCAACCTCTTAAATTAAATTAAATTAGATTAGGTATGTAGCTCCAATACCCTCCAACCAAAAATTCATTTCCAAAATTAATTGCAAATTACTTTCTATATATATATATATATATATATATGTATATATGTGTGTGATGTATATACATCCAATTATGCATGCATGCATTTCATGGCTTAGGTATTCTTAGTTGACTTTGAGATTATGAATAAATGCATGAACTTTCCCTTTGTTTCTAATTGCAAGTTGGTGCAATTTTCAAAACTTAAAATCAATTTATAATTTTTACCGACAAATATATCGTTCTGATCTGTTCTATATCGTTCTATATCGTGTTTTTCTGTTTATTATGTAAAATAATTCATATAAATTTCAGTTTTTGATATATTTTTATTGATATATCGAATAAATTAAATTTTTTCATATATTCAAGTATATTTTTTATTATTTTAAGACGAATGGTTCGACTTTCAATGGATCTCTTATAAAATTGGGAATCTTTGGCAAGATTTTCGTTTTGGTAAAAAGTGCATTACTTTTCTTTTCTTTTTTTTCCCTCTTTTTGTCATTTTTCTTTGTTCATTCGAAATTAGGTAGAAAATATTAAACGTGAGATCTCATATTAGCTCGAGAGATGAATGAAATATTTTTTTATAAGAGTGTGGAAACTTCACTCTAACAGACGTATTTTAAAATTGTGAGGTTGACGGCAATACATAACAGGTCAAAACGGATAATATCAGAACGTTGGGCCCTCTAGAGGGTGGATTGTGAGATCCCCTTCAGTTGTATGAAAACATCTCCCTAACAGACGCGTTTTAAAATCATGAGGCTAACGACAATACATAACCGACAAAAACAAACAATATCAGGACATTGGGCCTCCAAGGGGTAGATGGACAGTGAGATTGACAACAATAAGTAATGGACCAAAACAAACAATATCGGGACGTTGAGTTCTTAATGGAAGTAGACTGTGAGATCCCACCACTGAAGACGGGAACGAAATAATTTTTTATAAGATTGTGGAAAGTTCTGCCTAATATACATGTTTTTACTATTTAGATTGATGGATGTCCGTTACCTTATTTTAAAATTTAGTTCACCGGGCTAAAAGGTAATATAAATTATAGAAAAAGGAAAGGGGTATTTCGGGAAATTCGTAATGAAGAGGTCACCGTCCAAAGTAGCAATTCGGTACCAACCTTCGGGTGTGGTTGGTGGAAACCGCCGTCCTACTTAAAAAACGGCTGCCTCCCCACGGCGGTTTTGGCGGTGGCAGTCTACAAAATGTCATTTTCACCCCCACAGAATTAAATATTTATTCTATTTTTCCTTTATTTTTCCACCTTTTGGGACTTATCCATTCCAAGTCTTGAATTTCTTCATTTCTTAATTTCACACATTTTTTTTTCTTTTTTCTTAATTTTACATATTTAGTAATTTTAAATAATTTTTTAAAACATAAAACATAATTTCCATACTTATCGAACACCTTGAAATCAATACACATGAACACGCAATGGATAGAAATTAATTAATTATAAGCGGTTCGTTTACTCTTATTTGTAAGATCTCTATCCATCTGGTATTAAATTTGTCAGACATGTCCCATAAATCTTCGAGCTTCATTATCGCTCATGACTGATATGTAAAGTCTAATCTATTTATTAATGTACCGCTTGGCTATCTAGAAACTTGACTAACAGTGTTTAGTTGCTGCCCGTTCAACTCTTGACTTTCGTGTTCTATAGTTGCTACCCATTTATTAGCTCGATCGAGAATAACCAAGTGAACTTGCTTACCATCCAAATCAAACAAATTTTTTACATTAAGAGCTATAACGACGTACTTATTATTATATATGCATAATAAACTTCTAAATTTTGAAATACAGATTAAAAATGTGTAATTTAATCGAGATATTTATTATCCCAAAGGAAAAAAAAAATGAAAATAATAAATTAATAGAGAAAATAGTGATATGAAGAGTGAATTAATTAAATGTGAGAAATTGAAAAAGTAAATGGGTAGTTGAACCTTTTTGCATTATTGTATTTATAAAAATAAAAATAAATAAATAACACGTGGGAGAATAAAAAATATAATTAAATGTATTGAACAAAAACAAATGGAAGAAATATTATTTTTTAAATTATTTAATTATTATAAAAAATAATAATATTAATAATAATAAAGTTTTTGGAAATTGTTTCCCTCTTTTTTTTTACTTTGAGGTTGTGTCCAATTTTTGTATATATTTTTTTTTTTTTCATATTGGTTCGTTACGCATCATCGTCAGTCTCACGATTTTAAAACGAGTTTGTTAAGGACAGGTTTTATCACCTTTATAAGAAATGTTTCGTTCCCCTCTCCAATCGATGTGAGATCTCACAGTCTCTTAGGGCCAGCATCCTCACTAACACACTGCTCGATGTCTAACTTTGATACCATTTGTAACAGCTCAAACTTATCTCTTGTAGGTATTGTCCACTTTGACCCGTTACATATCGTCATCAGTCTCATGGTTTTTAAAACGCGTCTGTTAGAAAGAAGTTTCCACATCTTTATAAGCAATGCTTCGTTCTCCTCTCTAACCAATGTGAGATCTCACATTATCTATACGAGCATGTGTCATTGTTTTTTTTGGTGGCTCAATCATAAGAACTCAAAGAATTTAGCACAATTAGCTTGGAATGATTTTATGTTAAGTACTCTCTAAGGACTTGTGTTAGTTTGTGATGGATAGTTTTCACTGTTAGAAATAATTCAAGAAAAGTAGATAACACGATCATGTCACATAGTGAATGTCTAAGCCATAAGGTGTCAAATATGTATTCTAAACTCTAAACAAACCTATCTCGATGTGGTCGAGCATGATCACCTAAAGACATGATTATATTTTATATGGTTTTACTAATCAAACTAGAAATTACGAAGAAACTAAGCATACCACTATATATATATATATATATTTTGTGACCAACTTGAAATGCAATCATGACTTTGAAAACAATATCGAAGATTCGTATGGCACATTGTTTGAAAAAGAAAAAAATAAAAATAAAAGTCATCAATACGACCAACCACCATTAATAATTTAAGGTTGTGACAGGAAGTAGGTAGACGGAGTTAATAATTCACGAATTTATATATTTTAATACTTATATATATGTGCGAGTTATCAGTTAATATATATAAGATTCACGTAAATTATTTATGAAGTAAGAAAGAAAAATATATTAAAGTATATGATTTTGAGAAAACGAAAGTTACTACCCATACCAACAAAGATACTGCCTGGTTTGACACGTATAAGGTGACCTTTTAGGAATGAACTCATGTTGGTATGTGGAAATAGTACATAGATATGGTTCAGTTTGACCCGTTATATATCACTATCAGCCTCGTAGTTAATGCGTTTGGAGATGTTTTTACACCCTTATAAAAAATGTTTCGTTCTCCTCTTCAACCGATGTAAGATTGAGAGTCGTAATTGATTTTGTTATATCATCTATATTATTAATTTTTAAAGTGGGCTTTTTTTTTTATGGCTTTTGTCCATATAGACGAAGAGGGCCAAGAGGCCCAAAACTTAGAAATCTTCGAGGAAAGATTGAACCTTCTTTTAGCTCGTAGTGTATCAGTTCTTCGACATCGTGCAATGTTTTCGTTCTCTCGAGTTTGGTTTAAGTGAATAATCCAAATTGATATAAAGACGTTAAGATATACGTTTGAGAGGTTCACATAACTCGACCGCGTCTTATATCGAGAATTTTGGCGTGTCGTATCTCTCTCTCGAACTCGTTTATCATTGGTCATTTCATTTAAAACGACGAAGATTAGCGGTAACAATAGATGATAAGTTAATAATTCGATGGGTATTATTCGAATTTTGTTTTAATTCCATATTTTGATATAAATTTATCAGGAATAATACATATTTTTTTGTATTTTATTTCTAGCGGACAAATGTTGATAATGTAATAAATTGAAAGGACGTATGTAAACTAAATACATTCAAATATGTTAGGTTGGATTAGGTTCTTGAGTTGAAAAAATTTAGGACCCGAACCAACTCAATCTGTAAACGCTCCTATTGAAAATACAATAAAATAAAATAAAACTCTCGGTCTCTTCCAACCCAAAAAAACACGAGATTAGTTGTTCTTAACAAAGTGGTCGACAAATGTTGAGGATTACTTAGAGTCAACCCAACTGGTAAATACTCCTTTGAATTTCTTTTATTTATTTTAATTTTCAAATTTCTCAAAAAAAAAAATATTCTTCCCACGTGTTATGTTAAAGGAGTACGCACGTGTCACTCCATTCCCTCCAAAAAAACAAAATGCCTCGAGAGTCATACTTCAACCGCCATAAAGGCAGCCTGCAACTGCCTTCGTAAACAAGCTCCTCCGCCGTCCTTCTCTCTGCAACTTCAATGAGCATCTTTCACCCCCCTCCTCCGCCGTCCTCCTCCGCCGTGAAGTGGCTCAGCCTAGTCTCCGCCGTCTGGGTCCAATCCATCGCTGGCAACAACTACACCTTCTCTAACTACTCCGCCGCCCTCAAATCCCTCATGAACCTCTCCCAGCTCCAACTCAACAATCTCTCCGTCGCCAAAGACTTAGGCAAAGCCTTTGGCCTCCTTTCTGGCCTTGCCTCCGACCGCCTCCCCACCTCCCT